CTCCCAACAGCTTTTTTAAATACGCTGGCGACGGAAATCCTCTTCTAACTTGCATCTCTAAAGTCGACCATAAATGCTCGATAATATCCACGTCTGGTGATTTTTGGTGGCCAAATAAGATGCTCAACTTCATCAGAATGTTCCTCGCGGTATTTTTTAACAATTTCAGCTGTACGGATCGGGCATTATCATCTCGAAACACGACGTTCCTCCCCGGAAATAGTGTTTGAACCATTGTATGAACTTGGTCCTCCAAAGTTCCTAAATAGTCACTGCTGTTGATTCTTCCATGAAAAGAAATTATTGGTCTGCCAGGTTTCCAGGAAATAACACCCCAGATCATCATAGATCCTCCCGCCATATTTTACGGTTGGGAGGAGGCAGTCGGGATTAAATGACTCTTGTGGCGTTTATGTCTCCAAACGTTAACTCGGTCAAAGGTTGGAAATGAGGTAAACGATGATTCGTCAAAATCACATTTTTCACTGCTCGAGGGGCCGATTCTGGAGGTTTTTAACCACTCTAAAAGGTTTGAAGCATTTGTATTTGAAAACAGAGGTTCTATAATTGCAGGTCTGCCATAGAATCAAGATCTGTGCAGCTCTTGGCGGACAGCCTTTATGGAAACTGGGTTCTGTAGTTGTCCATTGAAGTCTGTAGTAATTTTAACGGCCGTGGTTTTTCAATTGTCCCTCACAATTCGATTCAGGTACTGACGGTAGCTCTCAGACAACTTCGACTTTCGGCCAGACTTTTGTTTTTCTGAACGAGGACGTTTTTCCTTCTCTTTCAAAAGCAGGGATTACTTTTGAGACAGATCGTGTAGAAACGTCAAGCATTCGGGAAGTTTTTGTTGCACTAGCACCTGCCATACGGCCACCAACAATTTGGCCTCTTAGAGAGTCAGAGAGGTTTGCCATTTATAGGTTAGGTTATAGACACAAAAATGTACTAAAAATATCTGTGCAGAGATAAAATATCAATTAGCATCAGCTATAAACGATAATACATAAAAATATGTCACGTTTTCATTGTTTATAACATGCTCAAGAATTACGATATCAAAATGTCAGGAGTTTCTCATATTTTGTCCAACCCCTGTATATGCGACAGAACAACCGGTCCATGGAAGAATAACCAATGAGTGGCAGCAGCGTTTCATGAGCACGCTAATTAACTGCAATTTACTTACACTTCAGATAATAATTTCACAATATCAGGAACATTTCTTCGCGTCAAATAACGTCATAAAATTTTACTTATCCAAGAACAAATTACTCGTCGTGCTGTACTTGTTGATGAAGGTTGTGGCATCGCCATTTGCCGCCATGTCGTCCATCAAAAAGCAATTGCTCCTTAGTTTACTTTGAATTAAACTTCCTGAGATATGGGATGAGATAATTATCTTATTACATCATTTCCTGCTGCTCGTGCAGATCGAATATTTTCATGTTTGAGCGGTAACTCATGCAGTGGTTCTTGCTAATGTCGGCCTAAAGAAACTTGATTCATTTCTTGATCTCACAACACACGGAGAATGAGCTAAGATCTCACAACACATGGAGATTGAGCCAAGCTCACACAACACACGGAGAATGAGCCAAGATCTCACAACACACGGAGAATAAGCTAAGGTCTCACAACACACGGAGAATAAGCTAAGATCTCACAACACACGGAGAATAAGCTAAGACCTCACAACACACGGAGAATGAGCCAAGATCTCACAACACACGGAGAATGAGGAGCGCTTTATGGGATGCATTTCTAAGTGCGCGGCGCTCGAACGTCTTCTTGGTTACGTTGGGCGCTGTGGGGCTGCGGAGTGCTGGCTTCGTGACTGTGGGACTGTGGGGCTGTGGGACTGTGGAGCTTCGTTGCTGCGGGACTGTGGGGCTGCGGGAGTGCGGGCTTCGTGACTGCGGGACTGTGGGGCTGCGGAGTGCGGGCTTCGTGGCTGCGGGACTGTGGGACTGTGGGGCTGCGGGACTGCGGGACTGTGAGGCTGCGGGAATGAGTGTACCTGCATGTTAACTGGGAGAACAGTATTTTTAGCAATAACTTTAATAGTAACTTTTATACATTAGTATAGTTAGTAAGAACTTTTCATGAATAACTAGTTGTACAAAAATGTTTCGTTTTTCCAGCAATGTTTCTAGCAGCTAATGTTTCCAGCAGCTATCTCAATCAATCGTCAGTTATGGAAAGATCGGGTGCCCTGATGCACAATAGCGGCTGTACTGCGCTGCTGCGGTATGTAATGAAGATCAACTTCCGAGATAGCGAAAAGCATGATAGTCGTGATTGCCACGAACATGCTAGTCGCCATTGCTACGAACATCCTAGTCGCGATTACTACGAACATGCTAGTCGCCATTGCTACGAACATGCTAGTCGCAATTGCTACGAACATCCTAGTCGCGATTGCTACGAACATCCTAGTCGCGATTACTACGAACATGCTAGTCATGCCCTAATTTGAACGTCGACGTCATTGGAGACGTTGAACATAAGTCTCGTGCTCGGCTCAAGAAAACTAGCAGAAATTCCTCCTCTAATTTCAGCCTCGACCCTCAACGCGTGACGCTCCATTATAGTTGATTGTTTAGGACGGTCGAAGTTGAGCGCAGCCCTTCCAGAAGCTGCAGCAAGCGCATCATTCTTCACTTCATTAATTTGAGCTTCCTTGATGTAATCTACATTCAACTGCGTGCATGAGACCTCGAGAAACCATACACATTATCAGCGCTGAAGAATAGGCTGGTGTGGCCAGTCGCCCAATCTTGTACTTTTCGTGAATTGTTCACAGGATATCTAAAAACTGGTCCTTTGACAGATATTTTCATAAGTGGTGTTAATTTGAAATAGCTACGGGAACTGAAATTATACCAGATCCGTTTGGTGCTGGAATTTCAAATCTGAACATATACCTCTGCATAGCTTTGCCTAGTCTGTTTTTAAGCGCGTCTATCATCGGGGCATCAATGATGTCATCAGGGTGGCTGTAACACATGTTTTGTCGCATGACGAGTTGCACTACAGTTTTTAGCGCATTTTCTCATTTAAAGAAAAAATGTACTATTGTGCTCGCCATGTCCTTCTGTCCGTCTGTCTGTCCGTCTGTGTCGTCTGTACGTGACCTCAAGTTTTCGTCGACGAAAAAATGCGCTCTCTGTCACTCACTGCAGTGAGTACTGAGTTATATTTTTTTAGTTAGTTCCCGTGACCACTGTTGTTGGTTCTTGATTCATATTCTAGACATCCACCTTGTACAAACCATGAGTATACTTATACCTTCAATGTGGTCTCCACGCAGCATTGACTCGAACTTTATAACTCATACACCCAGTGTTGATGATAACTCTGAGGTACTGGGATCTTATAGATTCTTTTGCGTATATGAATGGAGTTTTCATTTATTGATGCAATGATAAACTAAAGGTACATCCTTTATTGATGAAGTGGTAAACTCAACTTAAAGTTAAAGTACATGTAGTGACAATTAAATGATAAACCTTGCTTGGAGACGGATAAAGTGACGTTCCGCACACCTTTAAGCTCACGCACGTAAAATAAATCACTTTTGAAGAAGCCGTCACTGCGACGCTTCTGTCTGACGGGAGCGCTGCAGCAGAGCACGAGCAGCAGCCCTGACACGACCTCTGACCCCGCGTGTCGGAGCGACTGCGGAGCATCGCTTGTCTTGCCGTATAAGTTAATAGCGGCGCGTTGCACTCACTTTAAACGAGTTTACGAGCATCTTGTGGCTTGCCCGACTTCTCCAATTGCCTTTAAGTCGACAATAAATGTTGTTTTATAAAAAACAGCCCTGAGTAACCTTCACCGAACATGACGAATGGGGCTTTTCATATTGACAGCAATAACTTTACTTAAAATGTAGCCCATTATTTGAAGCAGTCAAGGCTGCCTGGAAAAAATTCTGTACGCTGTTGAATTATATAGATTTAATTGCTTAGCGATCGCAGATGTTGTTTCCGTAAGTTATGAGAAAAGTAAATTAAACTTGTTTACTTCAAATTTATCTGAATTTTCATTTCAACCAACATACATTGAATAAAATATCTAGTTGACATTAATAACAACTCGCTTGTACGTGATGCGATAAACCAAAAGTCATATTGTCATTTTTGGACTTGGATAAGAATTCGGCTATTTTTAGCGCATTTTCTCATTTATGGAAAAAATTCGCTATTGTGCTCGCCATGTCCGTCTGTCCGTCCGTCAGTCTGTCCATGACTTCACGTTTTCGTCGACGAGAAAATGCGCTCTCTGTCACTCACTGCAGTAAGTACTGAGTTATATTTTTCGTTTTCGTTGATCTTTGTTTCATTGCTCTTTGAAGAAAAATACAAGCCATGAGACATCATTTTTAATCTTGCCAATATTTCTTGAACAGACGACCTAAACTGGTCCAAAATCTTGCCAGCGAAGTGGTCAACTTGAGTAAATACCGTGAACGGATTTTCAAAAATTAAATAATTTTCTCGATAAGGTGCTCGCTGTTTTGAGGATGAGGAGCAAGTTTAATTTTGTCTGACCACGACGCATGTGCCCACTCCTCTATTTTAGAGCTGCATCAAGTGCACGGCTACTAATTTTAGCTACAACTCAGCAGGCAGGAGTTCGACGCCCACCGGCTTACACTCTAGACTTCATATATTAAATGGTACGCCTAAGTTACTGCTTAACTCATTCATCTGCGTACTAAATAATTTAAAGAACCACATAACATAGTTGTGTCAATGAAAAAAATGCCCACTGTAATATAAATTCACGTATACAATTAAAAAATGTATATAATGATATAATATGTGTCTATAAATATCGTCTTGATTCTTTCAATTGAATTTATTAGGCGTGAAAATGATCAATGTTCTCATTATAATCAAAGATTCGATAAATAATTTATTTCCTGTGAGCTGCTTCACATCGGGGATGTGTCTAAAACGGACCCTCAGATGTAGGTCAGTTACCATAGGTAATAGTTCCGATCCGGCCATCGTGTGGTGAACTGTTTCGCCTCGTATCGTAGCTAAAATACTGTATGGTGAGGAATAAAAGGCGACAGTTGCTTATGTTGGCTTCGGTCCGACAAGGTCTTCTGTAACTTCAACATAATTATCTACGGCGGCTTTATTCAAGGAAAGTTTATTGCATTACTCCAAAAGGATATCAACGACGTAAATATGACTGCACCTCAAGGTGAGAATTTTGACTGTCGTGGCGCGTATGTTCGTTATTAATTATGTACACAGTACACTTAGAGGGTAAGTCACAGAAACTTCCTGATTAGAAAGTTCAATAAATAAATAGTTGAGATGTCATTACTGAATAAATTTTATTGAAAAGGACGTTACCTGACTTTTCCATCACGGTATCACCTAGGTAAGTCAAGTTAGGTTAGGCCGTTAGGTTACTACCTAGTTTTAAAGCTGCATTGGTCTGACTCTGAGACAAGTGACGGTTTAAGACGGTAGGTACTTATGTCTTATTGAGGCCATTATCAATGCATTCAATTGATTTTTGAAGTTGCTTTCAAGACTCGCTGAGCGCTGAAGCATATACCTAATTGTGATGGCTGATGGGTATGTCACTATGCAGTATGTAAGCATTAAAGCATACTATGTCAAGTTATTGTCAACGGCCAAGTGCCAACATATTTGGATGTTCTTCAAACATAGTGGCCAAGCAGAGAGTTTTTTGGACTCTCCCTCAAGTTCATTTTTGAGTCGGTGAGTCCTATAAGTAGACCAGTAAACTGAGTAAAGTATCCTGGATATCATACCAGCATTATCATACTTAAGTAATTGGCTTAAATCTTAAGTAGGTAAATGAGGAAATTAAGAATGAACTTATTCTAAAAAAGCTCTGCTTTGCCACTATGGCTTCAAATAAGGTAATAATCATTTTGGCGGCATCAAAAGAGATTATTTGGAAATTGGAACAGCGTTGTGAAATGTGAACTGAAAATTTAGAAAGACACTGGGAGAAATAGAATACCTAGTACAGGCTAGTAGGCTAGCAGTAGCTTAGGCTCCTTGCCTCCTCCTTGGACTCTCATTCAGTCATTGTAAATAATTTATTCAAGATAATAAGATGAAAAATGACAGAGAACCAAATCAGGGGGCTTGGACTGTGAAGTTGGACAACCTTTCAGCTTCAAGCCTGGAGTGGCTGTAGAACATTTTTTCAATCAAGTGCATTGAACTCAAACCATATGATGATGTGATATTATTATGTTGTCCAAACTCCAAAGTGTCCAAATCACAAATTGGTATACTGTACATAACACTCAGTAACAGTCCTATTTATGATTTTTTGAGCATACTCAGCAGTCAGCAGTCAGCATAGTGATTGTGATCATGTGATGATTGTCATCAACAATTGTTCAGTGTAGCCTTGTAGTTGTAGGTGTGTAGCCTGTGTATGTCATAAATTAATAAATTTTTCCACAAAATTTCAAGAGTATTTGACAATTGACATGTTGATACACATTTCTTTTCCTAAAAATCTAACTATAGCAGTTCTTAACTTTGATTTCTAATTTACATATAAAAATCCTATAATAATTTTATTTTTGAAATTTCATCTTAGCTGTAATATTGAAATTAACACTTTTTTACAATACTTCTCTTTAACTTCACTTCTTGTTGTTTGTTTGTCTGCTACAAATTTTTATAATCAAGATTTTAAACACTTCCAAGTTCTACCTGTCCTATTGGTCTACAATTTTGCCCACTTGCATAAAGTCTCAGTCTCGGAGACAATGCATGAATCAATTGACAGAAAAAAATAATTTTTTAAATTAGAAATTTTCTAGAATATTCAAAAATAAAATGAGAAATCCATTGTGCATTTGGTAACATCAGAGACACGGGCCTCTTTAGAAGTGTTGGTTTTAAAAATTATTTTTAAGCGCATATTATTAAGTATGGATTTTATGGGATGATGCTATTTAAGAAATGTGATGCTATGATAAAAATCAAAATTTTTATCACAGTGAGTACCATAAAATGGGGTAACTTAGACCACTTTTTTTCTTATAAATGATGCCATTTTCTTACTAGCTAAATTAAACTTGAATTGAAACATGCAAAATACAGGTCTATACTCTAGCTTCACTCACCATAAATTGCTGGCTCCTGCCTCTCATAGTCTTTATGTAATTTTAAAAAAAGTGATGGTCTTTGTTACCCCAGCTCTTGGGGTAACTTAGACTGGGTGGTAAAATCAATTATATCAGTATTAGGCCTTTAATGCCCATTGACAAAATTTTTCTATGTCAAATAGTTTTTGAGTTGTGGGGGTTTTTGTAAAAAAAACGAAAAGTGGTCTAAGTTACCCCGCCGGTCTAAGTTACCCCATTTTATGGTACACATAATAAATTCTTCAATAGTTATACCCTGCCAACATGCAAAATTTTGGAAATGCTAATGATTAAATATATCTTCTAACTTCTACTTGTTCATACTCTCTTGTACTGACTTCAGAAATTTATATTTCTGCATATTTGTAAGCTTACCTGTAAAATTGTTCAAGTGTTTGTAAAAATATACCCTATGAACCAAAAAATTTGTCTTCACAGGGTGCGTACCAGTCATGGAAAACCTGGAACGTCATGGAATTTGATTTTTCTTTTTCCAGGCCTGGAAAGTCTTTGGATTTCATTTCAGGTCATGGAAAGTCATGGAACAAGAGGCGTTTTAATTTTCCTCAATAAGGTAGATGTTTGTTACATGGCCAGGACTGCAATAAAAGAACAGCTTGCAGACAAGAAGGCAAGTGCATTGCAAGTTATCACTTTCAAAGACACAAGCACGGGACTTCATGCAGGCTGTAGTCCAATAGCTACTGGACAAGAGCCCTTTCAGGTATATATGGCCTTGGTAGGAACCTGAAATGGCTAGTGCCAAAAATCCTCATCAAGAAGGACTGTAAGGAAGCTGGCAAAACACAGTTGAAGAACTGTCTCACTTTGCTTTTTGATGCCAAGAGATTACCTAACACAGATGTGGATGGTGTTGTGTGATGAGATGTGCAACTTTAGAGATGAATCACAACATTGCAGTGAATTGAATACACAGTTTCAAGCATTTTCAACTTCTGATCGACTGGACACTTTTTGGCATGCAATTCTGACAAAGAGTACCTACGAGAAGCTCTGGAATGTAGTGCAGATGCTCATGCTCCTGTCTCATGGTCAAGACATGGTTGAAAGAGGATTTTCATTCAACAAGGAAGTCATGACACACAACATGACAGCAAACGGTGGTTGCCCTGCGTGCTGTCATGTCAGGTTGCCCTGCATGATCATGTTGCACATGTTGGTGGCCTGGACAAGATGACCATCACCAAAAAGATGCTGCTTGCAACTGGTGGTGCCAAAACAGCCTATAGATTACAATACTGATTTGGCAGAATTGAAAGAGCAGAAGAGAAAGAGCAAGCTGCAGATGAATATGCAGAAGCAATGGAGAGAAATGGGGATTTGAAAATTATCTCAAAGTTCAATGCCATGAGGCGATCTTTGAAAACAAAACTACACACTCTTGAACTGTACATTGAAGAAAAAGTTAATGGAATAGCTGCCAGTTGAATGTTAGGGTAGTGGTGCTGAAGAGTGTTCTGAACTTTGACATTATCAGGTACAATCTTTTGTGCATTACTCAATATTTGTTGTGATTCAACACTATTGAATACATAATAATACCAGTGTATGCTTGATTTTCAGATATGTTATTTTTGTTCCTCTGTGTTTGCCTGCTCTATGCATTTACACATTTGCTATTTATCAAGTGTAGGAGATGATAGAATATGCATGGTTAGTCTTTCAGTCATACTAAACCTGTCGTATACGAGTCTTGGAATATTATATTGATGTTTGATGGTCATGGAAAAGTCGTGGAATTTTTTTTTTCTAGAAACCAGTACGCACCCTGTCTTCATAATAGCCATGTTCTTGTAGCTATTCAGGAGCCAAGATTCAAGCTGTGGGTCATACTCAGCCTTGACAATCTGCTAAATATCTTTTAAATGATGATGTTCAAAATATCTGGTTTTCTGGTGAAATATTTTTAATAAAAATCAAGACACCTAATTAAGACCAAGCTGATATCTTGGGCTGAAAAAAATGTGGCATGAGCTATGCATATATTGAGCTAGGGACAATGTTGATATGCATGAATGTCACCTGACAAAACACAACTGAAATTTCCAGTAAAACTTTGAAATTTTTAGTAAATGGAACCAATTTTTACATCACTTCTCTTTAACCCTTTACTGCCAAATCGGACTTTCGAGTCGCCTTTAAAAAAACACTCGTTTTATAAGAATTTCGCACTGTCTTTAATTTTTTTGAAAAATTTGCACTAACAAAAAAAGTTCTAGATTTATTTTTTACAAATGTGTACCAAGTTTCAAAGTTATCTGTCAATGAATAACCAAAATAAAATTTCCAATTTCCAATGGAAATTTCCAATTTCTTGTGGAAATTTTATTTCTGTTATTTACAGACAGTTCACTTTGAAACTTGGTACACATATGTAAAAAATAAATCTACGACTTTTTTTGTTAGTGCAATTTTTTTTGTTTGTGGGAATTTTTTGAAAAAAATGAAAGAAAACATGAAATTTTTAAAAAACAGTCAAAAAGGGGATACTGTCAAAATGTATCTCCCTAGGATTTTGAAGCTACAACATGGAGACGCATATCATTCGATGCGTAAGAACCATATTTATCGTTTTGTCCTTGCCGTTTTTCAAAATTCTAATTTTTGTGGGTGGGGTGGGCATTTTTTGAAAAATTTTGATTTCACCCCCCCCCACCCTTTCGAATTTCTCCCCTCTTTTTCCAAATTATTTTCAAAACAATAATGAAATTGACAACAAGCTACAACCAATCTCTATATCTTTTATTTGCAAATCGAACGGTTTATTTCTCATTGCTTTAGCTTAGGCAAAAATTTTGGATTTCGGCTTTTCCGGTTTTTAATCTACTCTTAAAGCTGACATTCTGCTCTATCCAACGGTACCATTACCATCTCTGTACATCCATTTTTAGATTCACCACACTTCATGAAAGGGGGGCGGGTGGGGGAGTTCTTCCAGTAATTAGATAGGAACTAATTAGCTGCTGAGCTATTTAAATATAGTGTCTATTTGAGTTGTGCTGCAGTTACGTGTTTAGTCTCATCTTAAAGCTGACATTCTGAGCTATCCAACGGTATCATTACCGTCTCTGTATGTGAATTTTGATGTACACCACACTTCATGAAAGGAGGGCAGGGGGGAGGGAGTTCCTTCAGTAATTACATTGAGGGAAATTCGCTGCCTAGCACTACAAATACAGTGTTTTTAGAAAGTGTAAGCCAGTGTGCCTCCGGGCGTCATACGGGGACGTGCGCATGTAGTTGCTCCCACCATCCTTGATTGGAATCAAGCTCCAGAAATGTTTACTTTGGTATCTATGCTACATTGACCGCCTATTGCGGTGCACCCGGGACTTTGTTGCGTCCTCCTGAACATTCACACTTAATGTCACGACAAACTTTATAAGTCCTAGAGTTTTGAAGCTACAGCAATGAGACATATACCATTCGATTTGCAATTAAAATACCTATCTAGCGATTCTCGAACCTTTTTTTTTTCATTTTAGTTTCAAAAATATTTTGAAAAAAGGGGAAAAATTCAAAAATTAGTTGAAAAATCAAAAAATTTCAGAAAAATCATCATAACAAGAGAACCAAGGAAAAAATTGAAAAAGTGTTTTGAGAATCGCTAGATATGGTCTTTACGTATCGAATGATACGTGTCTCAATGTTGTAGCATATAATTTGCAACAGTCATAAATTTTTTTAGAGTACCCCCTTCTTTTGCCATTTTCTATGAATTTCATGTTTTCTTTCACTTATTTCAAAAAATTCACACGAAAAAAAATGGTAATCATTTTTGATTTTACATATGTGTGGTACCAAGTTTGGAGATGATTCTACCATATATATAGAAAATAGATTTTTGCCTACATGCTCCCCTTAAAAACTCTTGGAGGCAATAGGTTTGCAGTGACAATAAGTGTGAATGTTCAGTAGAGCGCGACAAAGTCCCGAGCGTGACAAAATAGGCATTCAAGGTGGCATGGATACAAGACTAGACGTTACTGGAGCTGAAATTCAGTCAAGGATGGTGGGAGCGACTGCATGAGCACCATCCCACATGACAGCGGCCGGGTAACTAAAGATCAGCATCTTCAGACTGTCTATTTATGTGCCGAGCTGGTAATTTTCACCTATCTTAAATGTGAAAGAACTCCCCCACCCCTAACCCTTTCGCGATCTGGCCTCAAGGCATATATCAACATACAGAGATGATTTTGTTAACGTTGGATTGGTCAGAATGTCAGCTCTAACCCTTTAGCGGGCAACCATTGAAATATCCAGAAATTAAAATTTCAGAAACCATTTCAAGAAAGTATGAAGTATTGTACAATATATTTATTTCTATGAATTTTTGCAAATTTTGCCCATTGAAGGTTTAAATTGCACTTGAAGAATTCAATAAATGCGATCAGTACACAAAATTTTTCTTTATAATCAAAATTCAGTTTATGCAAATGAAAAATTAGAAACATAAAAATTTAATTTAATTAAATTTAATCAAGTTGCCAAAATAAAGAAATTTATATATTGATACTTCCACCTTTTGAAGAAAATGCGGAAAGAGCGTCAATTCCATTGTCTGAGTCAAAACCTTCATTTAAATGCTCATATTTCAATTTGTGGACTTTGCAGCTGGTGATGCTATAGATAGAATGATGGTCAGATAATTAGTGATTGACTGAGGCATTATAAGGATGCCTCAAAAACAAACAGGAAGCCGTGGTGATGCTTTTTGTGACACGATTTCAAGTGATCATATATGGTAACTTACCCGTGAAAGGGTTAAGGTGAGACTAAAAACCGGAAAGTTAAATTTGCGAGTTTTGACCCAGAAAATCAGACGGTAAAGGGTTAACTTCACTTCTTGTCATTTGTTTGTCTGTCTGCTACAAATCTTATATGTAATCAATATATAACACACTTCCACCTCTCCCATCAATCTGAAATTTTGCACACTTGTGTAAAGTTGGAGACAATGCATGAATCAATTGACAGAATATATAATTTTAAAAATTACAAAAATGTTTATTATAAAAAATAAAATAATTTTGTCATGTACAAATGTTATAATCAATATTCAACACACTTCTACCTGTCCAATTGATTCTGAAATTTTGCATACTTGTGTAATGTTGGATACAATGCATGTATCAATTGATACAATAAATAGGTAATTTTGAAAATTTACATTTTTTTCATATGTTAAAAAAATTTAAAAATTATTTTTTTTTAAATAGATGTAAATAAAATTAGATTTATTGTAGATGTGTAACATTGGAAACACTATATTCTTTAGCAGTGTTTTCTTTAAAAAGTAATTTTAAACACATATTATTATCCTCATTACAGTGCTATTGACCACTTTTCTACATTTGTGAAATAGTACTGTAATCCTCCCAGAGCTAACAATGCTTTATCAAATTATAAATTAAAAAATTTCAAAGCTTTAATTATTTTTCAGGATCCAACTTGCTGCTGGCTCTGGTACAAATGGCTGTGAAGCAGAACAAGCCTGCCAATCTCAGTAGATGTGCTGAGCTGGTCGGAATTGCTGCTCAAAGTGGTGCTAAAATTGTTGCTCTCCCTGAATGCTTTAACTGCCCATATGGAACAAGTACGTTTTAATTTACATAATCTTTTTGTTTCTGACTTTACTTTTTTTATTATGAAATGAACTTGTAAAATTGTAAAAATGTCATGCTCCAGCTGTGCAAACATGTTCATGTACATATCTGAGTTATTCCTTCAACCTTGTATGAATATGTAGTTTTAAATTGTACCTCATTCCCACGCTTAAACACAAGCATGTTATAATGTTACTCTGTTTTTTCCAGAGTATTTTTCTGAATATGCTGAAGCAGTGCCAGGGGAAACAACAGAATTCTTGAGTTCATTAGCGAAGAAGAACCAAGTATGGCTTGTTGGGGGCTCCATTCCAGAGCGCGATGGCAACAAACTTTACAATACCAGCACTGTCTACTCCCCAACTGGTCAACTCATTGCCAAACACAGGAAGGTATCTTTACCCATTTTTGTAGCATTAAAAATACATTTCATGCAGATAAAATTTCATTTGAAGTCTCCCATGATATATACACTTTGAAAAATGTAGTCTGATTAAATCTTTATCCTTGAAACATCCTTGGATCTTTTAAACTTCCTTTATCCTTGAATCATTTAATCAATATTCCATCATGCATAAAGTTTAACTATTTTCCTATCTTTCAAACCGATTCATAATTCAAATTGTTCAAACTCTTGATAATTGGTGCAAATAGTGTTGCTTTACTTTGCGTCGTCATTGAATGCAGATTCATCTGTTTGACATCAACATCCCTGGGTCGATCAGCTTCAAGGAGTCGGAGACGCTCTCTGCTGGCGCGGCATTCACCACTTTCGATGTCATGGGCTGGAAGGTGGGCCTAGGCATCTGCTATGACATCAGATTTGCCGAACTTGCCCAGGTTTACGCCAAATTAGGTGAGTTACTTCAACAAGAAAAACGAGATGAATACGTAGTTTATAATTAAATTTCATAGCTTGTAGGTTGTCTAAGATTTGTTCTACAATGTCTTGCTGGTTGAAATGAAACGTTTGTCAAACTGTTGGAAACATTGTTAAGTACAATCATTCACCTCAGATTTCTCAGAGTAGTGATTATACTTCCAATATTATTCAAAGCTTACATTTCTACATTTTTCTAGCCCTCATTTTAATCTTTACCCAATAGTAAGTGATGGCTTCTGTGTTGCAGGGTGCAACCTGTTGCTCTATCCTGGGGCATTCAACATGACCACAGGACCGGCGCATTGGGAGCTGCTGCAGCGAGCTCGAGCTGTTGACAATCAGGTTGGTATTCCTGTGACGAATTATTCAAACATACTTCTAATAAGTTGCATAGTAACTAATTTGTGGTTACGCAGAAAGCTTAAATGGATTAGACAACTAAACTTATGGTCTGCATACCCGTGTTTCAATCATGTTCTTAGCTATGAATTGATATTCCCCCATGATCAGGTGTACGTGGCGAGTATATCTCCTGCCCGGGACGTGAATGCTGACTACATTGCTTACGGCCACAGCCTTTGTGTCGACCCATGGGGCTGCCTCGTGGCTGAAGCTGATGAGGATGAGACTATCGTCTATGCGGAACTCGGTATATGATCGGAATATTTACGATGATCTGTCCAGTGTGCCTAACAGTTATGTTTTAAATGCTAGACTTGTCACACAATCCGTGTATATCTTCTCTATCCGTATCAATCCGTGTACATGTACTCTGCAAGCACATAAGTGTGTTGGCCAAATACTACGATTTATAAAATTCTAACGTCTTATGATCCAACATTTTCATGCTATCTCTAGCTAGACATATCTCGTGGATGAAGTTTATTGCTTCATTTCGAAATAGATCACGAGATCTAGCCTCACTTCAATTTATTGTTCGGATGTTATCGACGTCTAACCTTCGATTCAAAAGCACTATGATCAATAAATTGCTGAATTTCCAAACTCATGTTTTCTATTTTTTTGTTTCAGATGCCAACGAAGTGAAGAGTATTCGTCAGAACATTCCTATCTCCAAACAGAAGCGTCCTGATCTTTACCAAGTGCAATACAAGAAGTGATGGATATTGGGAATAACTACTACCGCGTAATACACGTTTTCATATTTCACTGCCACTATTTTAAACCACTGCTTCGCAATTATTATGGACGCTTGCTTGAGGCATGATGGATTTTTGTCTTTTGCCTCAAATCGGAAATTTTTTATGCTAATTTACTGGACAAACTCTCATCCGCAATTCTCAACTCCGATGGACGCCATGCTCTATTTCACTAATGCCCTTTACAACAGCTAATTTTTTTCTTCGTTTCCTTTGACAGAGCTGATCTGAAGCGCTAGAAATCTCCCCTCTACTACTTGTTCGTTTCCTTGCCTCGTTACTAGACCTTCTGATTTCCATTTTTTTACGTGTTCTGTGTGAGGTTTTTAATTTTTCTCCCAAGTCTATCGTACAGCAGTATTAAAAGAATGCTCTAATAAGTGCCTTCTTGCTGGTCTTGGTGTTGGTGATAATTGGGTTCATGGGTGTTTGAATTTTCACAGGTTAATATGATGCGGTTCGCAACATGGTCGAATATTTAGAATAAGAAAAGCCGCAGGACTTTCACTTCGTCTGTTGACGGTGTGTTGTGGCTAACTGTGCCAAATAAGGAGAAACTAATAGCTGCTTCTTTAGATGTATTGCTTCTGGTGTTCATAAATCAATTACATTTCAATTGTTTCAATCAATCTGCTCTCGTCGAGAGCAGGTACCTTGCAAATTTCATCGTGGTCTGAAAACAGAATTTCAGAGCAAATGTAATGACAATCAAAATTAAAATTTCCTTCTCGAAACTGCGAGAAAAATTGGGGCTTGTGTCAGAACTGAAGTAAGAATGAAGGTGCCTGATGTTGATCTTGTGCAATTGAGATTCTAGTCAATACTCCGTTTTAGCTTTAATTATATAACCCTGCGTTTTCAATGTAGAATTTGTTTAACCCATCAAACGATTTAAATGAAATCATAACGTATAACTTGTGTTATATTCCTAATGATGTTACCGACGAGGTTTTTCAAATGAATAAAATGAAAGCAAATTTTATGATTGCATTTGTTTAATTACACATCTTGCTACTCAGAATATTTCATCGCTTTACTGATTGATTCCTAAGATAAGTAAGGAGCTGGTTAGCTCCCTCCCTCCCCAAGAGTCCACTCAAGGTGTGCAGCTCGACCACCACCTGATTGTTGACCAACTTAACAAATATGTTTACTTTAAGGAGGCAGGGTTTCCCGGTTTGCTTAACTGAAACCGAATCTTTGTGAGCATCTTCATTAATTTGCTCGTCTTGTGCATCGACATGGTCTCCGTCATTGTCATCATCGTCACTATCATCCTGGTCTTCATCATCGTTGGTTTCCAGCTTCAACTTCTTGATGGGATTTAGGCGGGAGTCGATCTCCAGGTCCTCTACCGCAGCTTCAGAAACTCGGCGCTTGGCGTCAATCTTGTGGTCGAATTGTCCGTTAGATTCGCCAGCGTCAGGCTCCGATGGCGAGCAAATCGACGCATCAGACGTGTTCGCTCCTTCAAGACTATCCGTGTTCAAGCCTTGAAAATCAAAATATATTCATTAATCACATGTGTTTATTGCCACTAGATTGAATGTACTTGTGTTTTTCTGCAAATGTATCCACAGTGATATTTACATACCAGTTAGTTGACATTGATTTATTCAACAATATCCCAAGACTGAGCTCAAGTAATGGTCTCAAATTACTTTAGTTTAGCTGATCAAGGATAGAAAAAAATTAGACAGGGCTGTACTGAGGTCGCATCTATGGCTCGTCTAGATATTTCATTAGTCAAAATGAGCGTGCGCAAAGAAAGGACATGGACACTCACAGTCGCTGCCGGGCTTTGCGTGTTTTTTGTTCTCTTGGCGACGCCTTTGCCGCATGTTCTGCCACGTTACCTTGTAAGCCTTCAACGAGGCCCCGACGAAATACTTGCTGGACTTGAAAACTTTCGCCTTGAGCTGGGAAGAGAAATTGAGCAAACTTTATGTAGGAGTATACCGATTTATTACACGATTACCTCCACGAAGAACGGCTTTAAACTGAAAATCAAATTCAAAAAGATGTACCATCTACACATCTGTCTGCACAAGTTTATACAATTATGGTAACGCCCCACAATTTGATCATAATATCAAAACGGTCAATCAGCAGTTTCTCTGGATGTTTTGCAGTGTAAACTGTGGGTTTGATAGTGTCTGCAACTGCGTTTCTAGTTTACTTAGCACTTGCTTCACACCCAACTGTGCCAAAGCCACAACAATTCACAAAGGCCTTAATGACTCGATAATTACGTTGATCATGCAAGCTATAAATCTACCGCTAATCTTTTTAGCCCTGTTAATCCTTTGTTACAGATACAGAACTATCGTCAATATTCGTATCATATGTCAAGTAATACAGGCGAGAGTTCCGACCGTAGACAATCCATTACATTTATACTGACCACAATACCTTAATTAGTCTGAGCCAGGAGTCGATGGCCTCCCATGCACCAAGCACCGACTGGCTGCTGAGGTGGGAGGTGCGGGGCCAGTTCAGCAGCAAGGGCTTCACTGAGCTGATTTGTTTCTTGCTCTTGACTACTTCCAGGCACACGTCGCGGCACCACGTCCACGCTACACCCCACCTGTTGTCAACGAATTACCTCTTTAGGAATTGCACCACTTCATAGTAGTTGAGAATAACAAAATCTTCCACGCATTTTCCGGGTCCATTTTTAGTAACCGGTATAATTTCTTAGTTAAGTAAAGTAGTAGTATAATGGTTTGCTAGCGCTTCAGCTATTTCACACCGGATGTCAAAATATAACATTGCAAGCGAGGCGGAAGGTCTCGCGAGCCAGTGATGGTCGTAGAACTACCAGTTGCACCAAGTGCCCGGAAAAACTGACCTATCACTTCCCCTCCCTAGTCGCCACTACCAGGATGGGCAATTACAACAACAAGGCGGAAGGTCTCGATTATTCCATATCTCAAATCAATCATCACCCACAAGGGGTGGAAGGTTTCAATTATTAATCCCGCTGAAGCTGGCTCAAAAGAAGCAGCGTTAGCATCTCAAAAAGATGAAGTGACAGGTGAAAAGCAACAGAAACTAAGACATTCAAACAAGAAGTTGCTTACAAGGAACGTCGGAGCCCGCACGAGAGAGACAGAGAAGGGAAATACCTACCTACCTACCTACCTAATAACGTGACCCCACCACTTAGATCTGCAGTCAGACACCGCGAGCTCAGGAACAATCCCCCTAGGAGCGCGAAATCCCATAGGACTTCTGACGAGCATAGACACACGTCCACAGGAAGTAAAAACGTTTACTTGAATACATATGGGATTGGGGGCGAAGTTACTAAATCCCATAACGTGTGATCGTAGTGACACTACAACAATGTAGTTGTGGATAACTGCTAGCGCTTCTGAAGACTGGCCTCATTGTGCGGCCTTGGCAGAACTCCGTGACGACCGAGTGCGCAGGCGACACAGCAGCCAGCATCTGCTTTACGAGCTTCACGTCTGCCGCGGCACCCACCAGAGTGCTGAATACTCTGCACGCACATAACGTTCAATGTTATTTTAACCATCTGACAGTGTGAACGAAGTAATTATATTGGACGTGACTTGCTCTTTTAACTAGTAAATGGTGAGTAGAAGTAATAATAATAAGTTGGTTAAACTGTCATGGGAATCAAGCTCATCTCATATTTCTGTCATGAGGCAAATCTTGCTGCATCTTCGTACTTGCAAACTAGCTTGTCAACCTATTGTCTACTAACGGTCACTTTTGTTACCAGGCCTGAGATAGGAGTAAAATAGAAAACTGTTAGTGTATCTGTGGGCAATGGGTTACATCACAAGAATTTTTGAAGAGACTTGATTCCTATGAACACTAATTGACCTGATTTGAGCTCATAGATGAGAACGAGAACTGACCGAACTTTGTGCTTGATTTGACAAGACTCCTCGATCATCCTGGAGATGAAGGCAACTTCACCTCCCTCCACCACCGTCTCGTGCAGCCTGCCTGCAACCATTAACTTCCGTCATTGTTATCCTTCATGGTATAAGAGATTAAACTTTTTATTTCTTTTGTAATTTACCATCTCAGGTTGATACAAAAATCAACTGCTGAACTGAACACAGAAGGTTAGATTCAGATGAACAAATCATTAATAACTTGGAGCAGAAACGATATATTTTGAAATTATTTTATTCAAGAAAGATGATAGGGCAGGTTAATCTTGCCCATTGAAAATTTACACTTACAAAAATGCAAGCTAGATGCTAACTATTCTGCGTTGACTTTTGGGAGAACTGTTCAAGTAAATCATCCAAACTTACCCGTGTATGCATTATTAGGCGGTGGCCTGTCCTTCTTGCTCTTACTGCTTGAGTCAGTCTCCTGCTCGCTTGAGAAGAAAGGAGGATTGCACATCGTGAAATCCAGCAGGTAGCCTTTGGCATCCTCCGCGCTACACGAGTCATCTGGAAACGAGCAAATTCTAGCAATAGTGACAAACATTAACGAATCCTCCGATATACAAATTGATTTGATTAAATACCTTAGGCTAGGCTAGGGTACATTACTGGTTAAAATCATGATACAACCACATCATCACACATCATATAATAAACGTCATGATGTAGTCAGCAACGCACCAACATCCATGGGTTCCACTTCACCATCCTTGTGTCTGAGGGCAGCGAGGAACTCGAGAGTTTCTGGGCGTTGCAAGGCAGAGAACAGAGACTCTTTGGTGCTCTGAAAGTTTCAGAATATTATAGATAGTGAGACAAAGCAAAGCAGCTAGATTTTTATTCAGGGCCCGAGTAAATTCTATACTCACAACACTGTTCGCCTGTATTATTTAATGAAACGTAGTTTTGAAAATTGTCAAAATTTCAGAAATTTTGCTAAGCTAAACATATGTGAGAACAGCCTGATTTGCCAAAGATTATAAGAATTTGAAAAAAAAATACAGAATACTGAGGAGTCCAATGACTTAGCAGCAAAACTGACCTCAACCACAAATATCTTCTGCTGCAGTCCATTGGTAGAGACGTTCAGTCTCGCTGTTGACAGAGCCTCTTGGTCAGTGTCAGAACACAGCATGTGGAAGCCACACTGCTTAACACCCAGCAAACCATACACACAAGATGCTCCACATCCTGGAACACGAATATGAAAGGTAGGAAAATATATTATAGTTATCTTTCCCTAGATATATCAGTCTTGGATATGTTCACTTATAAAGCAATAATATCAAAACCTCTGCTAGCACATCATGTTGAATAATTTTACATACGAAAATGGGTAAAAACATGCATGTGAAATTGTACATATAATCAATTTTATGTGACTTGTAGTACCTATATCAAACCCAATAACGGGACTTCTATAATACGAATCATCTTTGGCTTTTTGACTCATTGCTTCACAGTTTTCCTTCTGTTGTTGATTCAGGAACTCCTGCTTCTGTGCCTGTTGGAGCAGCAGGGCCTGTTGCAGGTCAAACTTGTCAGGCTTTCTGCGATCTGCCCATAAGTTAACTACGTCTTGAAGCCACAGCAGATAGTTGAGTCGAAGAGGGATTGTAGGGACCAGATGTGTGCTTGGAAGATGAACCTTGAGAAAAACAATATATTAAGATAATGGAATTAGGAACAGAATTACTTTATTTTCATAGATTGTTGCAGAAATTGTCAGTTATTGTTATGTAAAAATTTAGTTATTACATTGTAAAATTCAATAATTTTATCATAACTGTCTCCCCACATTGGATGGTAATAATTAATTTAATAACATCAATGCCAAACATTTTCATAATAGAGTAGGTATGTTTTATATTCATGTTTACTCATAACAAGTGTAATTTACTACATAATTTGCATAAATAAGGCAACTCACTGTCAGCCCAAAGTCCTTGTGCAGCAGAGCAATAGCTAACTCAGCCAGTGCCTGAGGATTACTGAAGTCAAGATGCACTTTACTGCTGACATCGAAGGTGCAAAACTGCCGAAAATTTGGATAGAGAGACGCCAGTTGCTTGAAGCTGGGAGGAGTGCGATAAATATTCCGAGGGTGCATAAACTTGTTCAGTGCAGGAACTGAGTGAGAGCTCCCTTCCTTTGAAGCTTTCTTCTCTTCCTGTTCTGCCATGTTAACAAACCTGCAAACCAGGTGTTGTCTTGAGCACTATTAGGACTAATGAAATATATTTAGAATCAAAATTTTCAACTTTGTAGGAAAAATTTTGTGGGTAGATACATGTTCTAGATCATGACAGGTGGAGCAAAAATTTTAGAAAATAGATTCATGATATTGCAAGGTACCTACCATAAAATGGGGTAACTTAGACTACTTTTTGTTTTTTTAAGAAAAACCCCCATAACTCAAAAACTATTTGATGTAGAAAAATTTTGTCAATGGGCATTAAAGGCCTAATACTGAGGCTACATAACACAATAGAAAGATTTTAAAAGTTTGCATATCTAATAGGTTAAAAAATAAAAAATGTGACCCATGAAAAAAAGCTATTATTTAAAGCCTGTCAGAGTACCCCTTCCAATTTTTTCATTTTTTGGTAAAATAACTCCAGATTTTGATGCATTGTAGTAGAACTCTTCTAGTGACATATGCAAAAGACAAATTTTAGGAAAAAGTGTCATAGTTTGCAAATGGGGGGTGCTGCCCCCAAATGGGGGAACTTAGACCACCTAATGTCAGCCCTGATGGGGTAACATAGACCGGCTTGGAAGTTACCATCAACCGGGGCTACTCGGGACAATTTCAAACGTTTTTCATTCATAACTTCTTACCATGAAACATTTCGTAAACAAGTTTAGGCTCATTTCAAAGCTCTTTGCAAGGGCTATCACATGGCTTCTCCAAAAAATTCCATATGCTATTCGTAAGGTGCCAGAAGCAAAAAAAGCATTTCCCGAGTAGCCCCATCCAACGGGGCTACTCGGGACACTTGGAATAAAACTTCATTTTAAAACATTTGAAGCATGCAGAGTGTACTCATCCATTACTAACAGTACTCTGAAGTCCTCTTTCATTGTAGATGATGTAGAGATAGAATAAATGACATTTTCTGTGATTTTTGTTTGTTTTTCCTTTATTGATATGATATTACCATATACATTAATTACCGTATTATTGATGCGACATTACCGTATTATTGATGCAATATTACCATATCCATGAGCATGCCATTGAGCATTTACAACAACCTTGTCCACTGCAAGCTTCATATCAGCAGCCCTATAGCATTTTTTCTTTATCTGTAAGCTTACAGGGCGGCTTGTAATTTTACACCATTTTAATTGGGTTAAGTGAATTTACTATAAAAAAAGATTGTGAAAAACATCCCTGAAACAGAAAGGAATGTTTTAGTGACAACCATCATATGTTTTGGAGAAATAAATCATAGTTTAGGTCAATTACTTTTCATTCTATGATGCCTGGTGCACAATTCTATATATGACATTCCATGCATAATTTTGTGATGACCAATGATGCACTAATTTTTTGATAAGTGAAATTTGTTTCACTGAGCGAGGTATTTGTAATCAATATTATTTGTTTTTAATCAATTTTTTTCGTAACTGGAGCCTGTACTAGCTGAGGTTCTGCTGTAAATGCATTTTTGGGGGTGTCCCAAATAGCAGTGGGGGGGGTGTCCAGAGTAGCCCGCCGTGCGGAAATGGCTGCCATTTTTTGGGGGGATTGAGGTACCTATGTAAATTCCGCAAATAAAGTTTTCATGCTGACACTTGTCTGCTACTTTTTTCTAAGCAAAATTTTTTAATACGGCAAATCTTTTTTTCACTACAGACCTTAGCAGCAGTAACTTTTCAAAATATCGTTTTTCACCATTTTTTCAGGAATTTTTCAAAGATAGTATATGTAGTATTTTTGAACTTCCTTTATTACTACATAGATAGGAAAAATGTTGATGTTTACACCACTATATTTAGTTTTGCAATCTTCCAATTAGTTTTGCTACTAAAACAGTTTTACGCCATGTCGGAGGACTGTCCCGAGTTACCCCGCCCATCCCAAGTAGCCCCGGTTGACGGTAATATAAAATTACCATATATAACATATTTTATGTTTGACAACCTATCAATGTTTTTTCTTTATGTTTCAGACTCTACAGAGTCTTATATATGGTAATTTTAACTTAATTTCTAAGCCAGTCAATATTTACCCCATCAGGGCTGCCATTAGGTAGTCACATTTCCCCCATTATGGGGCGGCGCCCCCCATTTGCAAACTATAACACTTTCCTCAAGTTTGTCATTTGCATATGTAGCTAGAAGAGTTCTACTACAATGCACCAAAACCTGGAGTTATTTGGAGTTATTTTAACAAAAAATATATTTGATTTACCCACCCGATCTAAGATACCCCAAGAGATGGGGTAACAAAGACCATCTCTTTTTTTAAATTACATAAAAACTATGAGAGGCAGGAGCCAGCAATTTATGGTGAGTGAAGCTAGAGTATAGATCTGTATTTTGCATCTTTCAATTCAAGTTTAATTTAGCTAGTAAAAAAATGGCATCATTTATAAAAAAAGTGGTCTAAGTTATCCCATTTTACGGTAGTAACAACTAACATATTGACACTAGTAAGTAGTAACAGGCTGAGGTTGACTACATTACACCGAAATCTTTCGTACAGTTTTATTCTGTAATTTATATTATGTATGTATCATGCTGGTTTTTAAATAATATTTAATACTATCGAGTAAAATCTAAAGGCTTTATCTATAAATGTATCGGTAGCACTATAGCGGCAAAACCTCATATCGCTACTCAAATATGTAGCAGGCGCTACCACTACCACGCCTTAAATGTAGCGTTGCTACTGCTACTGCTACTGAAAATGTAGCGGACGCTACATCATCCTACATGTAGCGCGCTACGCCGCTACTGCCCACCTCTGATCTTTTCATCTCTTTGATTTCATTGGGCAGCTAAGCAGCTTCTCAATTTTCCCAAATGGCGACTAACAAGCAAAGCAGTATATACAGAACCACTCAGGAGACTAGGTCTAGGAGACTTAGCCTCACTAAGGGGAGGCACACCAACACATTTAGTAGTGAGTAGTCACTAGTCTGAGTAGTCAGCAAAGTGGCAAAGCAGAGTTTTTTAAACTCTTTCTCAAGTTCAATTTTAAGACCAATAAGTAGACAAGCAAAGTATCATGAAAAATACAAATAACAGCATAGCATCATTATTCATTATCATATACAAGATATTGAATTAATATTGAGTAGGTAAATCATAAATGGGGGAAATTAAGACGGAATTTATTCTAAAAAATCAGTGATTTGTCACTATGTTAGTCAGTGCCAGAGCAGCCAGACTGCCAGGCACTGCCATCATGATCATGATGAGTGCCATGATTGCCTGATCGGCATCTCAGCTAGGACTCGGACTCCTCAAAATAAAACCTAGAACACGGCTCAAAGTCAGTGAGCTTTGGTAGCAAATGTAGCATTCAGTCCTCAATACCTACATACTAGCATTTACTAGGTAGCCCTACATAGATTGATATTTTCCTGCTAATGAATACCTAAATCTCATGGCTATAGTGATCAAATTTCAGTAAAAACAGAATCTTGCAGCCCAATTGTGCACTGTGTAGTTTTATCAACAATTAGATAGGAAATAATTTATCTCAGTGCTTAGAAAAAGGCAGGAAAATCCTAGTTGTGGCTCAAATGATAAATTACTTCGTACACTCAAATGACTCCATGCCAGTTCAAAACCCAAACCTGCTAATTTTTGCCTATCTACCTAGCTAGATCTGCAACAGGGCCAGCAACACCATCACCAATAATGTGTCAGGTTTATTGATTCTAAATTTTAATCATTACTTACTTAGCAGTTAGCACAAGCAGGTGTAAACTGTAAAGAATATCAACTTTCTGGGCCAGAATTGAAATCATGGAGCCACGAGCTTATTCAATTTCTTTCTAAGTAGGTAGGTAGCTAAAAGTATTTACTTCGCAACAGCTTTCCATCATCCATGACAATGATGACATGATAGCTCGTGCTTAGGTACCTTGGCTATGGGCTATGGTAATGGTAGGATCACTAGGATGGTTCATGGTAGTAAGGTAGTCCTGGTAGTTACCAAGCTTAGTTATCATGGAATCAATGGATCATATGACTCAAATTGCAAATCTAAATTCTTAGGTAGTACCTATAACCTATTCTACCATAAAATTGACTGAACTTAATAAAATAACAGAAACAACATTTACTATTAATTTAAAGATCCTGCAAATTAACAAGTCAAATTCAGGCTAAAACAATATAACCAAACACTAGCAGCGATGTGCAGATGTTATATATTGTTATGATTAAAATAACCTAATTTTAAAATAGGAAATATACGACTATCACACTCACGTAGAAATAATCCAAAACCTTGATTGCGTCACACCGAAACGTTTTCTAGAAACGTCGTAACGCCGCCAATTTACTTAACTCCCATTCCTTGTGAGAATACCGGCGCAATGAATTTCAAAGAATTGAATAATATTTTTTCAGATACGTCAATTTACTAAGCAAAATAACAATTTTCAAAGAAATTTCATCATTTTAATTAGTATACTAAGAAAACTTATACGACGATTTCTAGCAATTGTTGCAATTCATTACGCAGCGATCCAGTCTCGTCGAGAGAATCGGAGAAGTTGAAGCAAGCCGGTATAAAATAGAGCAAGCCGAAAAGTGGCGCAATCAGCGTTGCCAGATGGTATATTTCTATACCAGATTTCACAAATCTGGTATTTTCAGAAGGTGTCTGGTATGAATATTTTAGATCTGGTATATATGCCTAAAACTTTTTTCTAACCAACGTTTCTGACGAATAGTTTCATTAAATTTGGAGGTATTAGTCAGTTTTCGAACAATAGAATTTCTGGTATATTTCTGGTATTTTGAGCTAGGCAATCTGGTATTCTCGCAGAGAAAAAACCTGGCAACACTGGGCGCAATCACTCTCAGGGTGAAGGTTGCTTGGTCAAAGTGGGAGAAGGAATCGAGAGTTTAACGTATTCAATTGATATCTCGTCCAGACAAGAAAGCTTTCCGAATCAACAGGTGAGCAATGACTTTTATCATGAATCTTTTGTAAAGAGATTGAGTAGCGCATAGATTGAATTTGAAACGCACGCGTTTACACTGAAACGCTGACACACAACTGGCAACATAAAAATTCGTCAAATCTTCTAAACGATACTATGTAGGCCTATATGTTGACTTCTTCCTGTATTATTTCTTTAGTCTTAATTCCTTTTTACATTGCACCTCTTCAGGCTCTTCCGCCTAGCATTGAAACGATCATATCACACCATTCACTTGTACCTGTATTAACTATATTATTGAAGCTTCAAGTTCAAAGTATTCTCAATAAATTGCCTATTCAGAAACTTAGTTTCAATTTCGTTCATGAAGTTTGAAACTAAACTCTCAATTTTTTTGTGACATATCGAAGTTTATTTGAAATTTATTTTTCTCGCTAAATTGTCTTAACTCATACCTAACAGGCGTTTAGAATTTGCCAACACGGCAACACCTACGTTGAAGTTACTGGCAAGTTACTCATGGCTTTTGGTTTGTATAATTCTTTAGCTTCATTTGATAACTGTTAGGAGTGTCAGGCTGTCTACCGTAACTCCCATACTTGTGTTAGCACTTACTGCGTCACTTCCGTGACGTCACTATAGCATGCCTATATAAGCTCCTCGAGCAGACCTTCAGTCAGTCTTAGGCAGACCTCTCAATCAACCTGCCGCTTATTCGGACCTTAGATACGAACCCTTGGACCCTCAACTCATAACCTAAGATCATCCGGTTATTAATCAATACTGAAGATATATTATAATTATATATTATCGGGCCGGTCAGACCAAAACACATCCGGACAGGAGCCTGCAGGTTGACTAATTTTCAAAGTATTGACTCATCTGACTGCATCAACTTATGAGATGAAATTTGTAATCTTTTTTTTTATCGAAGATCAAAATGCTGCCGCGTGTGAACCGCTCCGTTGTGCCTGCTCTGCGCTCCGCCATCCGCCACCGACTGCTAAGGTCGGCCCCGTACGCCGCCGCTAATAATGGACAAGGTATGATGATCAGAACAGATTGCAAATATTTATTCATCGTCGAGTCAGTTTTGATATCGGAAGCGCAATCATGTGACTTAGATATCAAAATACCTATTTAATTTTTATTATGCATGTAAATGAACCTGCAGCCCTTCCTAATATTGAAGTCATTTACTGAAATTTGAAATAATAGCTGCAAAAAATATACCCCGTTCAGTGTTCACGTTTCCAGCGTTAAATGTGGTAAAGCTTAGGTAGGAAAACATTAGTTTTTCAGTGTGCGAGAAATCACATCATCTGAAGAATTGAATAACCTTATTAGTGTATGCTGCAAATTGAAATGAAAATATTTTAATGCAGTGCGCAGTATTTCTGGTCCTCCGTTCCGCCGGGACGATCCGTTCGTGCAGATGGAGGCGTTCATGCGGGACATGGACCGCAAGCTGCGGCGCACCATCGACTCCGCATTCGGCAGCTTCGGGCAGGTCAGTCTTAGTTATAAGGGAGATGGTGTAGCAGTGGTTCCCAAAGTGGGCGATATCGCCCCCTGGGGGAGATGGAAGATCTGTGGGGGCCTTTGGAAAGATCTGTGTTTAACCTTTCTCTTTCAAAATTGCAGCATAATAGATATATAAATATAAAGAAAGAGTGATTTGTGCAATACTAGCTCATAGTGGTCTCCTAAATTGATGATTTTACATTTGTATGTTAAAGGTTATTATTATTCCGTTCCGTTGGTGGACGGAGTGGTTTCAATTACCAGCCTTGCCAAAGAAAAATATTTTTATATGCCTACTTATAAGTTATAAGTGAGTGAAATAACTTGTTGATGTGTGCCCTGTGCAGCTACCCGAGTGGCGGGAAGGTCTGCTGCCTCGTGCCGCTGTGTCGAGGACGGCTCAGGTGGGCGAGGCTCTGGACGTCTCCTCCAGCGACACCTTCAAGCTCGTCTTCAACTGCTATCAAGTCAAGCCCGAGGACATCAAAGTCACACTCAAAGGTAACGACTTGGCTTCTAAGCCTCAATCTTGAATAATGGCGTCGGTATAGGCATGTATAATATTTACGAATGTTTCTGGATACTTTTACTGCTAACGAGACCCCTGGTCGTCAGGCCATAGAATACGAATGTAATTGACTCTGTTTTTATGGAATTTTCGGAGACGAAGAGTTCATGCCAACTAGTAACCTAAAACGCGGTTAATCTTAGCGCGATATTTTCAATTGTAACTTGCGACTTTTTCGTTGAGGGAATACAATATTGGCTTCCATTGTCGGTCTTCTCTCTTATGAAAATTCATATATACGTCGTTTCGATTCTAGCGCCAGAATGTCCCCTCACGGATGCTTCCTGACGACGCTATAAATCGTAACTACAAAATCTACAGGTTATACAGATATCCTCACGTATAGTGACACTAAGAATTTAAATGCGTACAAATATTCAAGTTGCTAATTTGCTGCAGATAACCTCTTGACGGTGTCGATGAAGGCGTGCAGCGAGAGCGAGGGCCGCTCCGTGACGCAGCACACTGAGCACCAGCAGACGCTGCCTCCCGGCGTCGATGCCTCCAAGCTCGAGTCTTCGTTGTCAGCTGACGGGCAGCTCTCCGTGTACGCCCCCAGGGAGCCGCCTGAGGGCCCCCAGCTGATCAAAGTTCAGCGCGAGTAGACGGTTCAATGACTTCATTCTCCCGTAGGCTTCTTCTTCGCATGCAGCGTCGTTTATGTTTAGCTATAGTGAGCGGAATTTAGTGATGAAAAATTTTCCTATTGTAATTCTGACCCAATTCCGTCGAAGAGAATTTTTGAATGAGCAGATCAGGAGTTGGATCGAGCGTAGTAATTCCAGCATGCAGATGCAATATCGTCATATTTTCAGTTAATAATCAATGAGATCGCAAGAAGGTTTTTTGTATTCGTTTTTTTAAAGAATACTTTGCAATCAAATCAATGCAGCCTAGTTCTTTTTAATATACTTGTTCCATTCTATTGAATAATGGTCGCTTTGTACCATCATTACGTTTTCTATTATCAGTGGTACGCAATCAGGGCTTGTTGGATAAATTAATTGTCGAATAAGACACCCCTTTTCAACTTTTACGTTGGCGTTTGCTGTTGACGCGATGCTTGAAGTTATGGAAACAGTTTACGATGTTGCCGAACACGGGGCCAAGATACCTGCTCACTGGTGTTATGGCGACACAAGTTGGCACTAACGCTCAGTTCTTAAATTGGTCGTCCATGATCAGTGTATTTATTCGCGAACAAACTGAAATTTGAAGTGAAATGATTCCTTAAATTGAGTTGCGTTCTCGGATGACGACAGCCGCAGCCAAAACAATTAACCTGTCGTGATCATAAAGAATACGGAGCCATCACAGTGCTACGTTCTGTAGAGAATTCCTAATTATGTAGTTATGACGAATAAGACGTTCTGTACTGTATAAAATATTTGTATTTGTTAAGAATGTAGAATTTTCTGCATGCTAATGGCGTGCAGTATGTCTCCAGTGTTACAATATTAGGAAGATTTGTACAAATACATATTAGAATTACGGAGACGTCTTAAATGTTTAATGTATGAAATAAACTAGTTATATTAATAAATATACAAAATATTTTTTGTACGTTTTTTTATGAACCGCTGGCTATATTAAGTACCTTCAAAATTCTCTCCTTCCACAATTTTATGTATGATACTGTAACCTCACCCAACGTCCATCAAATCGTTAAAATCTCCTATCACGCATAATTTAATAGTTGATAATAAGCATGAATATTATTCAGTGTGATCGCCCTTATTTGGCGCGTGCTATACGGTGCAACCACGTACTGTTGATTGTGGGTGAACCTGAACTCGTTCCTTGACGCTTGAATGCGTAATGCATTAATTTTTGCTACGAATACGCAAATGACGAAGCGAACACTTACCTACCTCGGTAAATTGGTGTTAACGTTAATTTTTTGCCAGACGCTAATTTTCTTTTTTGCTAATTTATTTGAAAGTGGCTCTCACATCATATTCTGTGTAAGTGAACAGCCTTAGATTTGATTGTATTAGAAATAATTCGCTAAGATAACACAGTTGGCACTCATTTCCTATCACACCTGCTTATATGAAGCTGAGTGTTGAAGGATTATGTTCTATTCAATATTTTTTCAATGCTTCGCCTTGATATGAAGAAAAAGAGGATGTCATCGATGGTGCAGACTAAGATGTAAATCCCCTATTGCGCGTTCGTCGCGAAGTAAGCCTTTTGAGGCACATCAAAAAGCATCGGCTTTAGCTTCGTCCACGGCCGTGTCAGGTGACCTCGATTGGCCGCTGAAGAGGAAGCCAAAAGCCGGGGAGTTCGGTACGTCCACGAGCCCGGCGGGCCTGTGGAGGTAGAAGGACGCGTGGCCGTGAGGTGGCCGCGACACCCCGTTGGCGACCCCGAAGGCCTTGCGCGGGATGAAGGGCACGAAGTAGCCTTCTGGAGGCTGGAATGGTTTTAGAGAAGCGGTTTTAAGAGGCTAGGGATGAGAGATCAATTATCAAAACCTACGGGTACGGCTAATTACGAGGCGGCCGTTGGACAGACAGTGCCTGCTATTTTGGCCGAATTTTGCAGTCAAACTCAATTGGCTAATTGACAAGATTTGACAAACTATCCACTTCAAGTATGGAGGATAATAACAAAATATTATAAACTCCAACTCGAGTTATGAAGGTTATTTATACTCACGTTGAGGGGGAGGATGGCTGGTCCCAGGGCGACCTCGAGGGTCGTGAAGTGAGGTTCGTGTCCCTCGGTCTCTGGGGCGACCCCGCCTTCTTCCGCCGTCTCGAACCCGTCGCTTCCTATTTCCTGGAAACTATTTTGCGTCTCCGAGGCGACATTTGACGTGGCAAATTCAGCGCCAAGCCGCAAGGACGCATCCTGTAGTGAGGATTCTTTTATGACATCCACGTTGCTTTTCGTGATGGGTGGCGGACGGGTGTCCTTCAAGCCCCTCATCATGGGATGCTCGAACCCATGCATGATGTCCGACATGTGGCCGCTCATGACCGAAGGAATTTTTTCTCTTTGCTGAAAGTTATTCATCAAATTCGAATGCATCATATCCTGCAGCATATGGTCCACCATTGCTTTCATCTTTTTGGATTCTTTCTCATCCATAGTTTTTTCGAAGTTTGAATCTTCAGTTAGCACGATCATCGGCATGTTCTTCGTTCCTTTGTCGATGTCTTTGAAATCTTTTTCTTCCATTTCCATTGTACCATGAATCAAATCTTTTTTTCCTGAATGCTTCTCCTTCTCCGAGTCCATTTCTCCTGCCATCAAGTCGCGGACGGCGCGGGGACTTGAGTCGCCGAATCCGAAGTAAGCGTCCAGCGCCGCGATGATGGAACGCCGTCGCTGAGCGAGCGACGCGTCTTCAGTCGCGGAGCGCTTGTGTCGCTGCGTTGACGAGTGCTGTATGTAAATAATCCATAAAAAGATGAATTCTTAAAGGGAAAAATAAAATACGGTGGCATTAATGCTCAGTCGTGGAGCTCTTGTGCCGCCCGTCATCTCATGAAACCAACAAAAAATCTCGCGATTCGTGTTGACAGCCATGGGAATAAACACACATGAAACTGAAGCGGTTGGGATGAGGAGTCAATCTGAAACACTTATCTGCCTGGCAGCGGGCCAAACAGATGGGGCCCTAGCGATATTACTCTCGTCGTTTGCAGAGAAAAGATCCACCACAGGCAAGATCTTATTGTAACGGACGGAACATTTAGGTTCTCGCTCTATCTTACCGCTGAGGTGCGAGCAGCACGTGCATTTTATCAAAATATTATTTTAGATTACGTATACCGGCCAACAATATGAATAATTTTGTACTATTAGGGCATAAAACTAATAGATTTACGCCTGGGGTAAAAAGCATCAAAGAATCAGTCATAAAATAAATAAAAATATACCTTAAAATAAACGGGACTTATAATAGTAGAAAACCTTGATCCGTCACAACGAAGATGTAGTGTACGGATAATTGCATGACGACGCTACTATCAAAATAATCAAGTCATTAAAAATATTAACCCTTGGACAAGCACCAGTTGCTTTATAGTATGAAAATTGCTGGTGTACTTTACATATGACTAGCGTTTCTGACTGGGTTAATTCTGTACTACCTACTAATGCTCATGTATAGATTTGATGTGCATTTACATGTTCGCTGCCGGGAGGCGCGTTTCGAGGCAGCGTCGGATGCGTCAGGGCCGCCGAACATCCTGCGGAGGAAGGGTGCGAGGTCAGGGTTGTAAAATAATCAAATACCAAGTATATGTGCAGGTTTAAGGATCGTGAAATAACCAGATAAAATTATGCTCAGGATAAGCTTCGTGACCAAACTTAATACAAAATTAGATGCAAGAGAAGGGTAGTGAAATTACATATTACCCAATGGGCTGTTGAATGAGGATAATGAAAATTTGCCATATAATATGTATGCGGAGAATGGAGATAGTGAAACAAATCTATTTCACGACTATTGGCCATAAATACGTCCATACACTGAGCATCTGAGCACCTTTATCGATATGCTTCGTATAAATCAAACTAATACATTTTTATTCTGCTGCTACTACACACGTTAGTGACGTTAAAAGTGTTAAACGCCAGTAACTATATTGACTTTAACTGAATATGTTTAATGTTTTGATTAAGAATTTCTGTTACCTGGGGTCATGTAGACAACCAAGAGGAGCGACGTGGTGGCAAGACAGCAGAGAAGCCGCATGGTAAGCAGCTTTACAATGAAGTATAGATTTTATTAATAGTTTTTTATTCAAATGAACGCACTAATTCTTCACTTTGGAAATTTGGCGCAAATTGAGTGCTGAAAATCGGACATTCAAAATACAGTCAGCATAAACTTATACAGCGTCAGTAATAAAAATTGTAATCGAGTTGTTTAGTTTAATTAGCTTTTTTGAATCGGTGCATAACAACTTGATTGTTCTTCGTATTCTCCGATTATTCAGTTAAAAGGCTCTTCATCACACCCTATCTACTAGGCTTTACCTTCTTTACCTTAAAGTGCCTATAACTATAAGTTAATTATCGCACCCTGTAACCCAGCATATTTTGTGCAAAATAAAACAGCATGCAATGAGCATTAATTTGTGGTATGTTCCTATGGGAACTCGTTTATTTTCTCGAGCAACTATGACAAAAATTCTCGTTAGCAATTCTCGTTCCTATAAATTCTTAGCTAGTGCCAGTGGCGCTAGCTAAGACATCTATCATCTTCTTCCTTCCTGCATTGTTATTTTGTATTTTGTTATTAATTTCAACTGTAACTCAATGAATTAATTTGTGAATCAGCCCAAAGTCACGCGAGCGTCATTATCCTGCAGTGGGGCCTTCCGGCCTTGATCATGTGAAATCTACACTGTGAGTTCAGGTATTATTTATACCGTTTTTATGATAAAATTTTAGTAAAGCTTTCATTCCACTTTATCAAGGCAACAATTTTCAAGAACCCTCGTGACTCTTAAGTTTGATTGATTATAACTTATTTATTCCGGTCGTAAACGATATTTTATCGAGAACTAGAGGACTAACTTCGTCATCAACGAAGCCAAGTCCCACGGCACTCTAACACTGACACTGGCACCTTGGTCACCTCGCAGTTGAAACACTGGCACTGGCACTGACATTGGCACCTGGTCTGGCACCTCAGTTAGCTTACAATCCTGGCACTGACACTAGCACTCGGAGTGCCACCTCAGTCACCTGGCAGTCCTGGCACTGACTCTGGCACTCGGAGTGCCACCTCAGTCACCTCGCAGTCCTGGCACTGACATTGGCTCTCAGAGTGTCACCTCAGTCACCTCGCAGTCCTGGCACTGACACTGGCACTCGGAGTGCCACCTCAGTCACCTCGCAGACATGACTGCCTCGCTGGACCTGAGTGGCGCGCGCCTCGCCCGCGTGAGGCAGGAAGCGGCCACCAGGAAGTCTAGCGGAAGTCGTTACAGCATAAAAGTGTTCCAAGCAATCGGACGAGTTTTTAAAATATTTTTGTATTAAATTCCCGTTTTTTAATGGAAAATCTTCCGAATGATAAGCATTAGTGGCTTTGCGAAAATATAGTGGGTCAATTGTAGACAAGTATACCGTGCCGTGAGAATTATTTTGACATCAGAAGTTCCGTTACGGCGCACAGCGACCTTGGCTCCGAAAGTGCCGCTGATGGCTGCAGGGGAACACGTCATCTCCTCGCTAATGCAGTCGCGTACAGCCTCAAGATTCTGCTGAGATCTGCCGTGACAATCTTGGGCCATACTTTCAAAATTCACTAAGTGAACGTAAGTACTTACGCTCTATTTTCTTGTCTATGATTGGTGGATTTTGCTTGAAAGGCCGTCAATGATTGACTGATGAACTTACGATCTCCTAACTTTTTTTGAAAGTATAGGCCGCAAGTCCGACGTTGCCACGGGTTTCACCTACACCGCACTCGCATCAATAATAAACTGTATATTGTTTAACTGGACTACACTAAGTTGTTATTCAGTCCTTATAACTCATAACAACCATAACTTCTGCGTGAATTTCACCGCCTTTTTGTAACTTGATGTCACCGCAGATTACAGATCGTTCAATCCTCAAACTTAGTATATAGCATCTTGTAAATTTTTCCTTGCAGTTCCTGGCAAGATTTTTGGTTCCAGAAAGAAGGTTATAGGCTTGTAACCAAATAATAAACAAGTAATGAAAGCGTCATGTTAGAAACATATCGTTGTAAAGGCTGGATCCAGTGCTAACTATAACTAACAATAAATAATTGGGCCGTCACTAGCCACAACCATTGTTTTATTTATCACTAATTTATTTAATACTAATATCACTAATTTATTGAAAACTGCTCTACAAATTGGAATGCTTTAAATCGCTCAACATAAATCATTTAAAAGGAATTTGAACATTGAGAAATGGGCAAGGAAAGGAAGTGAATAATTCAAGTTTATCTTAAATTCATTCATTATTTCTTATATTTATTTTCTTGTTGATGCTCCAGCAACTTGGATCCTCAGGCCACGCAATTATAGTCTCAACAAAGCTCCATCTCCTTTGACTCAAAATGCGCAGTAAAATAAAAGTTTCTTTCAGAATATCCAATTAAAGATGACAAACTAATCCCGCGTCACGAGTAATTTTTTCTCATGAGTTTATTTTTCTTTTTAATTCCGACCAATGGTCTTCTGGAGTCTCTCCACCAGACCCCCAAAACGGTCCGCTAATTTGTCGTCCGCTCTTAAATTACACGCAGCAAAAAGTGACGTCGCCTCGCGTCTTCCGTACTTTTTATCGCCCCATGAAATGCTCTCTGATATCTCTCCCTTATCTCTGCTTGTTTTTCCTTCGATAAATAGTGGCTATCTCTGCCTGTTGTGTACACATCGCGGTTATTGCTGCACTTAATGGGCATTTATTCGCGTATTTACAGGCGAGTCGGAGACATGCAACGCTTTGAAATGATTTCTTTCATTGAGAGAAATTCCGAGGTTCCCTGCCATTTTTACGAGCTTCCATTATGAGATTATTTTTCTTCACTCGTGCCTTGTTTTTTTACAAGTGATGCAATATATAGGAACTAAGCTAAAATCGCATTACATTGATGAATAAAGCTTATGTTAATCAATGTTACAATAATAATAATTAAAAAAAAAATAATTTCAATAAAAGTATCGCGGTACGAATATTCTTTTACATCTCATCCCTCAGGGCATGTACCGAGCTGTGGATCAGACGCGGCATATCTAGGGAAGAACTTCTCATTTTTTCTGAGACAAATTCCTGTATAAGTGAAGCAGGCACACAGAGAAGCTCTGTGTTACTCTGCAGCTCACTAGTGTATATTTTGTTATCATCTATCAATATATACTGAGTTTTCTACAGATTATTCAATTTCAATCAAGGAAGAATGCATTAGATAGATCTGACGAGTCTATTTTTTATAAGGTATTACCAACTATTTAAAATTTTGTAGTCATATTAAGACTGAGGTCTCATCAATGTTTATTTTAAATTCGAATGCCTGATGAATATAATAAAATTAAATTGACTGCTTTTTACTATTGCCTAAATACCTTTACGGAATAATTATAACTGCAGCTAAATCAAGACAACATAGAAGAAAAAAACCATGCGCAATGTTGACTGCGACGCTTCACCTTCCGCTGTTCCGCTCGTCCGGCTGCCACTGACCCCGAACTGCCGAACAATGATCCGCTTCAGTGCCGTCTAGACTTCCGTGTAGTAAGGTTAGCGCAGCATTGCTCCTCTAAAGTTGACTGAACTCTAGCAACGTGCTGACTGCACCAGCGGGTGACTAGGGCGCTACCCGAAACTCCGCCGGAAATCTCGGCTTGGATAAAATGTTGACCTCGACCCCGTAGCACCGCTACTCCTCTCGTAAGTATATATGCTAAACCAGTGAGGATTTTTTCCCGTTACTAATTTTTGCTATACGGTAAATAATTAGTAATAATCAAACTACAGATTTACTCAATTCAATGCTTGAATGCAATGAACTGTGAGTACTTGTATGGGATGGTATTGCTTGCTCCTCAAATCTTGTATTATAACACTAGTGAATAATGCCGCTGGCTTGTATAGTGGGTGGAATTTTCCATACGGGAAACTCCCAGCGAACAGGTCTCCCACATGCTTGCGACTTCACCCAACTTGTGTGTAAATTGTTTACTACTTTTTTATATTTTCGGCCATTCATTTAAGTCTTACATACTATAACTTGAGTTACTGTGCTGGAGAATGTCTAATGACACATCAAACTGCTGGCTCAGCTCCAGCTCACTAAACTCGGTACTGTTTTAGAACTGCTCACGCTCTCGAAAACTGTGAAATTCGAATTAGTGTAAGATGTTAGGATCGTCGAAGATTTTTCAACTCTCGACTATCTTACGACCATCAAAGATCTTACAACCATCGAATGATCTAACAACCATCGAATGATCTAACAACCACGGTGGACGGTGATATATTTTAAGACGGTGGGTTAAGAGGTGATATGTGAATGCAAAATATTCAACATTTCCTCTAAGTTTTTTTAATTATTTGCATTATTGCATTGAACGGATCTTATGCTGCACGTGAACTAAGCGCGATGTGAAAGTTAGTGACAATTTCCGTCAACTTTTTTAAACAAATATTTGCATTTTCTGGTCATAGCAAATGATTCTTGCGTAACAAATTTGAACTTATCTCTTTAGAGGGCAAATGGGTTGACGATTTCTCAATCCTAAGCAGCTACTGAAGTCCATTCAAGTTATCAGAGTTTAGTTACGGAAGAAGTGACGCCGGCTTGCAATATAGAATGCCTTGCTAAAGCTCTCAATGTCTTATCTATCCATTATTGCGATGGATTCTTTTAAATTCCTAACAATGGATGAACTTCAACCATGATTGTATTAAGGCATTATAACGCAGGGCCGATTGAATTGACGTTGACGATGATTATTTTCTTTTATTACTTTCCATTGCGCATCTTTTACAATGATTTTGTTCAGTTTATACATGAATTATTTCCAGTCTTTTCAGTAAGTTTTTTTTTTGTAGAAAAAGGCCTTATGACATCGCAACAATTTATGTATCAATCGATTGAGGTGAATTTTCGTCAGGTTTAAATTCATAGTCGAGATTGAATTAACCATGGCTCAAGAAAAAATGAAATAAAGGCGATGCACTCCCTAACTTTGCTAACAATGCGCCAGAATAACGTTAGCACGGCACGGGTAACACATATTTTAGGGTAATCTTTCTTGATTTTAAAATATAAATTGAACCCCTTCATTATGCAAACAAACCATTGATGGATTAAGATATTTCTTTTAAACGCGTCATCGCTTCCTGTCTGGAATTGGACAACCTATTACAAATTGCTCCTAATCTAGGAAGATCGTCTAAGTTACAGTGCAGTCAAATTATCGTTCAATTCAATCAAGTTCATCGACAATTCAGAAGAAAGTAAAGAGCAAAAATAAAGAAATACTGACATGACATCTGAGATGCAGCTTTGGAAGTTTAACTCCAAATATGTGGTTTAGCGTCTTTAGATGCATGTTTCATCCCACTAAATGCGTTCTGCATCCCACTAAATGCGTTCTGTATCCCACTAAATGCGTTCTGCGTCCGACTAAATGCGTTCTGCATCCCACTAAATGTGTTCTGTATCCCACTAAATGCGTTCTGCATCCCACTAAATGCGTTCTGCGTCCCACTAAATGCGTTCTGCGTCCCACTAAATGTGTTCTGCATCCCACTAAATGTGTTCTGCATCCCGCTAAACGCTCTCAACATGTTCGCTGAACTTTTTTTTATATGCGTTCATTTAGCCAACTTCTGACAATAAACGCGTCGTTAGCGATATTTTATGCGTTATCTTGTGGATGCCTTTTTTGGCTCGATTATGATGCTGCATGAGGCTTGCATGTTGAGTGAGGCTTGCATGTTGAGTGAGGCTTGCATGTTGAGTGAGGCTCGCATGTTGAGTGAGGCTCGCATGTTGAGTGAGGCTCGCATGTTGAGTGAGGCTTGCATGTTGAGTGAGGCTTGCATGTTGAGTGAGGCTTGTGAGTGTTGACTGAGGCTCGTGGGTGTTGACTGAGGCTTTTGAGTGTTGAATGAGGCTTACATGTTTATATTGTGCTTGAATAACTCATTAATTATTCCCTAACTTTGTCGTCAGTTTTTTTTTCTGGTACCTATAAGGCTATATATAACGTCTTTTGTTAAATTTTTATGTGTTTCGCCATGCAAACATTCGTAATTCACCATTGTGAACTTTTGAACGGATATCTCGCACAACTTAGCTTAAATGCGTTAAAGTTCTTGTGCGTTTGAATCGAAAGTTCTTTGCATTGTAGCTGTGTTTTTGGCAAGCTCTATTGTCATTCAGACACGAGTTCAAATTTGCAGATCGGACCTGCCGACCACATCTCTGAAGCATTAATTAATAAATATGCAAGAGAACAAAGATGCATGAGAACAAAGATGCATGAGAACAAAGATGCATGAGAACAAAGATGCGTGAGAACAAAGATGCAAGTTAATGGTTCTGACTAACAGGGTGATGCAGTTGGCGAGGTGATTGAGGCGGAGAACTTATCGAACTCACGGGACTCCTTGCGGCGTTCTTACTAACGTCGATTCTGTGGCAATTACCCCAAAAGTATGCTCATGCCTTGACAACTCATTCCTGATTACTATGCTCATTCCTGATTACTTCTTGCTGATTACTTCTTGCTGAAGTATGCTCATTCCTGATTACTTCTTGCTGCCAACGTCAGACAACGTGTTGCTTAGGTTTACCGACCTAATATTATACGAGATAACCCTTCTTTAAGTCTAATTTTCCTCTCTTCGACTATTATTCGCAGTATTTTTGCCTGCTTCGCTGTTTCTTCCACTTAACGATTACCTTTATTCTCTTTGAGTTGTAAAATTCACAGAGATGGACAAACATTACCAGAGCGCATTTGCAGAGGGCGTGTTTACTCTAGTCTAGTGGAAGAAACCTAACTCCCTCTTGTGCATCGACTAGTAAGGTACGTGCGCGCTGGAGTTCAGTCTTGAGCTTATTTTACGCGCTACAAAAGATTCGCCCATTCATTTCGAGTCCTTCTCGATATCAGATCTCCTGTCCGATCTCCTTTTAGGACTTGACCACACTTGGTGCTGTGCTTGATATTTAAACTTCATTGTAAGGCTTCTGCGGGCGAAATCTATTTCACGTACGGTAGTAAATTATGTAAATAGACTATTTATGACGTTGATAACTTGTGATAGCAATGATCTTGCTATGACGTGACATGGGACGAAATAGTCAAATTTTATTTTCCAAATTCGGATTCAGGATAAAAAATAGCTAAAATACGTACGTTGAAATTTAAAACGGACACCTTGTTAAACGCCCATTCTTAACTACGGAAACTACACATTCTTCAGCAGAAATTAACTGATAGTCTTGCTGTGAACCAACTAGTAGCGAAGCGTGAAACTCAACTCGGAGAAAGAATGCTTCTATTGCTCCAAAGCTTACCCCGATCTGCCCTCTCACCGATGTCGCCTAGCAGGAAACTCTTACATAATTTTTTTTTGCGAAACACGATTTTTGCACGAGCAGCACCCAAATCTGCTACTGGGGTTATTGTCCTTGCCTGCCTTGGTTATGTCGCTCGACTGCAGCGTCGACTCAAATGCCGGGAGGGGGCATGGCAGAGGCAGCAACCGCTCCCTGCTGCACCCCAGCGACCGCGACGATGCTCTGTGCTGCAGGAATTTGCTGCGATGATAGCACAGGTGCCAAGTCCTGTAACGGGATCAGGGCCTGGGTGGGCCGGCTTCCAGGCAGTCGTGATCGCAGGATTACTCAATGATCGATACATGAGAGGTCCCATAATTGAGAGTCTATGCTTCCGTAACATTCACTGCTCTAGCATCTCACGGCCTCTACATACACGGCCCCGACACTCACTGTCCTAGCATTTACTGCCCCAGCATTCACTGCCCCAGCATTCACGGCCCCGGCATTCGATGCCCCGGCATTCACTGCCACGGCATTCTATGCCCTGACATTCACTGCTCGACGTGACGGCACGATTCGCTTAGCCGCGCATGCATTTCCTGATGCGAGTACTGGCAATTGTTCGGATGCGCATCATCAGAATCGTCGTTCGCATGCGCCTCATCTCATACGAATAACTGGACAAAAATTCTTGACTTGGAGAAACATGGTATTACTTCTCACGATAATATCAAGGGCTCATATACGAATCTTTTCTTAAACTAATTGCGTTAACTTGCTTCAATGTTGCACCGTAGGCACCGTAATTAGAACTCTCTGTTTAGCGTAATACTCTATTTCGGGGCATAAATGCTGCCATTCCTCTTGTTGAGTAACGTTTTCCAAGGATATATTTACATATATTATGACACATGCCGTCGTGTGCTGCATGCACAGCAGTCGCCATGTATTCGGACAGGACACAAATCCATATTTCAATTTTCCCGTAGATGCTACACATTATCATCTTTTGTGAGCAAGTTAACAGTTTTATCGAGAACGTCATCACTCCCTGTTTACGGGTAACATATTCATACCCGGAAATTCGTTTTAAGCACTTATAAATTATTTGTTCGTGGTATAACTGCCGTTCCGATGAAATGGCTTGGGTATTTTGGTCTGACATAAGCAGTGTGTACTGTGTGGATGAGTCGCCACAGGGCCAAGTGACTCTCAAAACGCTGTAATTGCCCACTTAGCCCCGAGGTGTTCCGTCGTGAGAGAAGGCTCGATTTTCACTGTGTTTTTCATGTAATTCTACAACGAATTCCGCAACTGACGCAAGCTGCTATTATTCAATTAATTTAATTAATTTATTTATTTTAGAAAA